CGGGGTGTGGGGGGGAGGGCAAAGGTTCAGAGAGGAAGGGGGGCGCTGGTGGGGCAGTGGCAGAGGTGGGGGGTGCAGCTGTTCAGGACAGGAGGGGAGGAGGAGCTGCTGGGCACTCTGGTGCTGGGCAGGCGGCCGGCCTGGGGGCACCCGTCCTCACCCCTTTCTCCTCCCGCCCCAGTACCAGGGCCGCATCAACGAGCTGCTGCTGTCGGTCATCACCTGGGTGGGCATCGTCATCTCGCTGGTGTGCCTGGCCATCTGCATCTCCACCTTCTGCTTCCTGCGCGGGCTGCAGACCGACCGCAACACCATCCACAAGAACCTCTGCATCAGCCTCTTCCTCGCCGAGCTCCTCTTCCTCATCGGCATCGACAAGACGCAGTACGAGGTGGGGCCCGTGGGGACTCCAGCCCCCCCGCAGGGCCCCGCTGCGCCGTCCCACCCCCTTCGAAACTCCCTGCAGTTCAGTTGTGGTGGAAGATTCACCAGCATGGCCCAGCTTTCATTACTGTGCTGCTGCGAGGCTCTTACACAGCCCCCACTCCCCACCCCAGAGGTGGCTGCATCTCGGCACTGGGCAAGGAATCCCTGTATAAACGGTCCCTGTGCCCCACCCCAGAGACAGCTGCATCTCAGACCTAAAAGAGCGATCCCTGTATCAACAGCCCCCACATGCCACACCCCGGAAACGGCTGCAGCTCAGCACAGGGTGAGAGATTCCTGTATAAAAAGTCCCTGTGCCCCACCCCAGAGGCGGCTGCATCTCAGCTCTAAGAAAGCGATCCGCACCCCAGAAACGGCTGCATCTCTGCATTGGGTGAGGGATCCCTGTATGTATCGCTGACCCCTTCTCCCTCCTCCCACTCCCCAGATCGCCTGCCCCATCTTCGCGGGGCTGCTGCATTACTTTTTCCTGGCAGCCTTCTCCTGGATGTGCCTGGAGGGCGTCCACCTCTACCTCATGCTGGTGGAGGTTTTCGAGAGCGAGTACTCCCGCAAGAAGTACTATTACCTGGCTGGCTACTGCTTCCCAGCCCTCGTAGTGGGTATCGCCGCAGCCATCGACTACCGCAGCTACGGCACCGGCTGGGGGCGGGGCTAAGGCGCTGATGGAGCATGAGTGCTGGGGGCGGGGCTAAGGCGCTGATGGAGCATGAGTGCTGGGGGCGGGGCTAAGGCGCTGATGGAGCATGAGTGCTGGGGGCGGGGCTAAGGCGCTGATGGAGCATGAGTGCTGGGGGCGGGGCTAAGGCGCTGATGGAGCATGAGTGCTGGGGGCGGGGCTAAGGCGCTGATGGAGCATGAGTGCTGGGGGCGGGGCTAAGGCGCTGATGGGCATGAGTGTTAGGGCGGGACTAAGGCACTCATGGGGGGTGAGTGCTGGGGGCGGGGCTAAGGCACTGATTAAAAGACAGGAAACAAAGGGTAGGAATAAATGGTGAGTTTTCCAAGTGGAGAGAGGTAACTAGTGGGGTCCCCCAAAGGTCTGTCCTGAGACCCATCTTGGGCAGCTGTGGGTTTCTTTGCATATCTTACAAATTGCTGCAGGCTTAGACCTCTGACTGTTCATGTGGCAGGTCCCACTCTGCTTTGTCCCTTACTCCTGGGAGTATGCACTGTCAGGGCAGTGAGTGGGAGCCAGCCCCAAAATGTCCCCACAGCTTCCTGGGGATCCCTTATTCCTGCCTTCTGGGTGCAACATGGGAAGGGATAAGGGATCCTCGGGGACTGCTGGAGCAGACTGCACCCCGAGCGTAGGGATCCACTTCACTGCTCTGCAGCTGGCCGCAGGCGGGAGGGGGGAGGGATAGAGAATAAGACCGAGACTATCTTATTGTCGCTATATAAAACCATGGGACGCCCACATTTTGAATCCTGCGTACAGATGTGGTCGCCTCATCTCAAAAAAGATGTATTGGCATCGGAAAAGGTTCAGAAAAGGGCAACAGAAATGATGAGGGGTTTGGAACAGGTCCCATATGATGAGGGATTAAAAAGACTTGGACTTTTCATCTTAGAAAAGAGGAGACTGAGGGGAGATATGCTAGAGGTCTATAAAAGCATGACTGGTATGGGAAAAGTGCATAAGGAAAAGTTATTTACTTATTCCCACAATATTAGAACTAGGGGTCACCAAATGAAATTAGCGTTGGCATTTAGCATTGGCATCTACTAGGGATCATCCAGACGGTGCTTGGTCCTGCCGTGAGGGCAGGTGACTGGACTCAATGACCTCTCAAGGTCCCTTCCAGATCTACTGTTCTACTCTATGATTAGTCCGTAGTTTTTGTAGTCCTGGACGGGGCATCCCCCAATACCGAGGCTTGTGAATCGTGCAAGCATCCTCCGCCCACTAGTGACCCACACAGAAGCTGCCTGAGGTGTCTTGGCGAGAAGCACATTAGTGACAAGTGCCGCATTTTTGAGCCTTTGCAGCCCCAGGCTAAAAGAGAAAGAGACATTAGTCTCCGGGCTCTCCTGGAGTCAGCGCTAACCCGGCACCAGAGCAGGGCTCGGACTCAGCCTCGAGCACTGTAGCGTGGGTGCGGGACGCCC